TTGAGTAAAAAATACTCCAGATATTTGTGCATATCACAAATGTTGGATGGCGGTCAGTAAAGTCACGATAGGGTCAGTGGGACAAAGTCACAATAGTTATCGTCTACTTGCTGCTCAATACAAAGGCTGGACGGTGAAAGCAGCGTAACGAGAACGAGATAGGACGTAGGGTGAGAGAAAGTACGAAGATTGACCGGGAAAGCGAAGGCAGGCGAACGAGGGGAGACTCGAGAATTCTCGATCGAGTTTTCCGCTGTCAGAGCCGGGTGGTGGTGCGTCGTGAAATGCTGAATAGGACAACCGAGACAATGGGAATAGTACGTGGGACAATTACACGCCGAGTTTTCCAAGTAATTAAGTCGTCGACCCGCCGTTGTGCGAAAGCAGTTTTCGTTCGTGCATTCGTCTAGCGCATCTTCCTTGTGATACTGGGAAGATGGGTTCGTAATCACACACAACTACAATTCTCGCCTCTTAAAGTAAAGATAAGGAAGTTCTTTCGCAAGAGTCATGCGTGTTTAATACGAATAAAGATGTCATTATTTATATCGCAGATAGCAATGTAAAATAAATCGATAGACTAAATTTTTTCGACATCGCAGATAGGCTGCTTTATGATCTTACGGGTGAGTGCATTATCTTGAAATAAATTATTCTAATTGCTTTAATTCAAGAAAGAAAATAACATTCCGAGTTTTACATACAATAATTCCAATTTGAAAAATCACATTTATAGAGGAGAAGGTGGTATTATGATGTACAGATTTACAGATATTGTGATCCTCCTTAATGTCCGCTATTATATAGTGAATCCTAATGATTATTTATAGAATTATTTGTTTAGTAGCTCGCCGTTACATTATGTAGTATACCATAACACTAATATGTCAATAGTTAACACTTATTCTAATGTATTTTTATTTTCAAGTATTTCGAAACGTTTCTAAGGTACATTTTAGCATTTAATTGCACCTACTTCCTTTACTTAAATTTTTCTTAAACTTGAGTGTATTATATATATATACATATATTATATGTATATATTAACGAATATATGTATATATTTCAATGTATTGTTTGCATTTAACATTTTATTTAACTGTATATATTTTGAGTTATGCAAATTTAAACAACAGCATAGCATTTTGGTAATGTGGCTCTATATGCTTATTGATTACTCACGGCCTCTTTTTTTGAGATTTTCATATCAAAATAATTACTTGATAACCGATTGTAGTTCTGCGGTTAATTTATAGTTTATATTACTACTACTATTTTTAATATTGAGATTTTTAGTACTGAGCAACTTATACGTTTGAAAAATTTTGAGCCTCAACATGAAGATGACATTACTTGTCAAAACTATTCTGATATAATCGTACATGTGTTACAAAATAGAAGACTTGTAAAAATTGTCACCATTTTGGACGCTCAGTTGTTTGAGAGTCATTTGTGCCAGTCGATGTAAGTGTTTTCGTTTGATGAAAATCTGTGTCCTCCGAATCTAACTTTGAGCCTGGAAAACAGAAAAAAGTCGTTGGAGATCAGATCTGGTGAAGATACGGTAGATAGTTAATTAATTCAAACCGCAATAAGTACATTTTTGTTATGGCGATCGTCGATATTCGATTTTTTCTATTTTTACAAAAACACTGACTGGCACAAATAACTCAAACATAATAACTGAGCGTCACAATGGCTACAATTTTCACAGGTATCTTGCAAAATATGTACGATTGTAGAATGGTTTTGACGAGTAATGCCATCTTCATGTTGAGTTTCAAAATTTTTCAAACGTATATACAGAAAAAATTATGTGTGTATACATATATACATTTATTTGCATACATTCTGATCCATGTTTTACTTTTATGTTAATTTTGTAACCACAAACACTGCTTTTTTTTAAACAAAACCAATTTTTTGAATCTATTTTTGTAGGAAGCTATATTACCATTCCTGTTTCTCTTCGAGTTATTAATGCAGTGTCGCTACATTTTTATAAATAATGTCCTATGTAATAAATGTTTCGTAATTTTGAGTTTAGAATCGATTGAACAACATTTTGAGGAATGTAATTGTCAAGTTTTAAATTTTAATTATCAATCAAGTTATCGTATAAAATATAAATAGGGAACCATGGTTTAATACCATCATCTCCTCTAATAATTAACATTTGGAAAATTCACATTTAAAAAAATCACAATAAGATTGCATTAACTAGTCACAGATCGCGTATAATTGTAAACAGACCATCAACTTACACGACGAGAGAGCGTGAGCGATTAGATCACAATTTTTATTTTTATACTATATGACGTGATCACGTTATATAATTAAGATTGATATTTAAAAAGATATTGTAAGCAATTAGTTTAATTATAACAATTTACCGAACATGTTTATTAAGTTGTAATTTAATTATTTAAAATTATATATATATGTTATATATATAT